AGAGAGAGAGAGAGAGAGAGAGAGAGAGAGAGAGAGAGAGAGAGAGAGAAAACCAGTCTCGGAAAACGCATGTTGGAAATTTATTCGCACGAACTTTACTCCAAAAGGACTAATTGCTTTGACCGTTTCGGGTGAAGAGAAAGAGAGAAAAAAAGAAAAAGAGAAAGAGAGAGAAAAAGAGAGAGAGAGAGAGAGAGAGAGAGAAGGAGACATAGGGGAAAAAAAGAAAAAAAAGAAAGAAAGAACGGGGTCGAGTTAATTACCGTCACCGAAATTACAAACGATTTTTCTACGTGTTATCCCTAGAAATAATCAATTATTTATTTACTTACAAAACGCGTAATTATATAATTAATTTCACGACGAATTTATACACAATCTGTTAAAATAATTCTTTTTCTTTTTTTTTCTTTTGCTTTTTTTCCATTAAACACCCACATATATTCTCACGATTAATAAACTCGAACGTTTACATACAAACGTAAAAAATAAAATACGAAAAAGAAAATCAAGAAAAATGAATAAGTGAAAAGGGGGAGGGAAAAATTAACGAAAAAAAAGAAAAAGATAAAGGTTAGAATAAACAGAGAGAAAAAGAAAATGTCTCTTCTTTCATTCGTATTTCTAAGTATTCTTTTGGTTCACAATTAACTAATACAATCGTTCGATGAGATGAAATATACAGGACAAAAGGTTTCGATAGGTGCACTCGATGCACTTCGAGTACTTCGATGACCGTCATCATCATCATCATCATCAATACAATGAAACCCTATCAAAAGCATCGTCATCGTCATCGTCATCGTCATGTTTGAGAAAAACTTTGTTGGGTGAAGAGTGTGCGTCAAAGAAAGACATTATATTAGATTCTAAACACGACGAACTCTACCAAAGTAGGAGAATAGAAACGAACGAACGAACGAACGAATGAACTAACGCACGTGCTAGAAAAAGAAAGAATGAGAAGAGAATAAATGAAAGAAAGAAAGAAAGAGAAAAAGTGTGTATGTGTGTATAAGAGAAAAAGAGAGAGAGAGAGAGAGCCTCGTTACGCCACGGTCACTGACTTTGTAACAGCGAATGCGTTTTAACGACTCGTAATAACTTGAGGAGCGTAAACGAAAGGAGGATTTACAAAGCGATAAAACGACGCACAAAAGAAAAAGAGAGAGAGAGAGAGAGAGAGAGAGAGAGGGAGAGGGAGAGACGATTGCATATTTTTTATTTTCTCTTTCTATTTCTATCTCTATACACTGGGTGAACGAAGAAATTTATCGTACAAATGAGGTCAAAGTTGATTTCACGATTGGATTGTGGAAATTTTATTCAAAGATATTAATATTATTTTTTTTTTTTGGTTTTGATTGAGGTATCGTTTAGGATACTTGTTTAAATATATTAATTATCAGTTGTATGATTTTTGTAATAAAGAGAGTATTTTATTTATTTAATATCAATTTTTAATATCTCGAATTATGTTTTATATTTTTTTATTAACGATAATATACGATTGATTTATTTTCTTTGTTTTTTTTTTTTTTTTTTTAAGACAATAGACATTCTGTAAATTTGTAATATCGTTGAGATTAATTAATTATACACAAATTTGATTTATATAATTTCTTTTTCTTTCTTTTTTCTTTTCTTGTTTTTCCAAAAAATATTAAACCCTCTCTCCTACGTAATCTGATGACTCTAAGATTATAGTTTTTATCTATTCTATTCGTTCGAATGATTAAAATCAATCTTGACCTAATTAATACGAATTTCGATGTTCACCCTGTAGATATTTTTCTGTATTTATTCATTTAGAATCTTTCTCAATAGAGCATTTGAAGCCGCGCCCAAAATGCGTGGGTTAACAGCGTCGTATAAACGTGCCGTGAAAGATAAAACGAGAATAGAATGAGAAAAAAAGATAGAGAGAGAGAGAGAGAGAGAGAGAGAGAGAGATAGAGATAGAGAAAGATTGATTACAATTTTCTTTCTATCCACTGTCTCTCATTCGAGGATAAACCTGTGTGTGAGAATCCGTTGAGAAAGAATGAAAGAATCAACGAAAGAACGAAAGAACGAACGAACGAACGAGCTAGCTAGCTAGCCTAGCAAGTTAGCTAGCTGTTCTATTCTGTTCTATTCTGTTCTGTTGAATTGTGTTATGTTGCGAGATGAAGGCGAGGTCGGGACACCGTTCCTTGTGAAATACATAGGTGCACACGCCTTCTTTAAGTAAACGTCTTTCTCTCTTGAAAGAGAAGATCTTTTTCCAAGTTTCTATAATTAATATTATTCTTTTTTTTTCTCTATTTGTCTTTATTCAATTTAAACAAAAAAAAAATAACGACGAACAAAATATTTTTCATTTTTTTTACGATATTTAAGATTGACTTTAATGATAGATATATGGCATAATTCTAATCCTTCCTTCCATACTTCAAATGCAACAACACACACACACACCCATAGCATAATATAAATATTTTAATTATAAATTTTTTGTCGATAGATATAATATGACATAATTTTGAACTACAATTAAACCTACCCTTTCATACTTCAAATATAAAATTGATGCGTCAAATGTAATCCTATCCATAGTATAACATAAATATTCGTATTAATCGTTTAAAAATGATCTAACAAAATACTTTTCCGATAGCTCTGCATAGAAAGAAAATAAAAAACCACACAAAACCAACCACCTCTCTCTTACCAAGTAAATCGCCAATACAACTTAACAGATAATCATTTTCTTTTTGCTATGACAAATTCAAGTTTCTTCGATGGATTCAGAAATTCTTAGAATAGATGATAGATCGTAGAAACTACGGTATCTTTTACTCACGGTGAACTAGCAATGATAACGGTCCACCGTACTCTACCAATCGTGGAATCACAACAGTAACAGTAACAGCAGAAACCAGCAGAAACCATCGACGAGCACGCGGGTACGAGACGACGATGGTTCGGTTCTGCAACCGGGAAAATAAGAAAATCTATGGGGCACATAGGAGTTATTGCCAGAAGAGGACCGATAAATTGTCGTTGCGATCGTTCCTTGGCTTACACCAGAACCATAATTTATGATCGTTTCATGGGAGATGGGGGAGGGAACGAGGGGGGAGATGGGTGGGGAGAGAGAGGGTTCAGAACACGAGCAGCAACGCTTCTGCCGTTACGTCGTATTTATTCTCCATGGTATCTGTATAAGAAATGTTAAAGAGAAAGAAAGAATAAACCCCCTAACGTTCCATCTTCTTTTATCTTTCAACTTTGCGTTCATTTATAGATAGATAGATATATATATATACGTTTACAATAGTAGGAATTCTAAATCATTCGTTTATTTTAATTTTCTAGTCGAACACGGAATCGACAAATAAAATTGATCAAATATTATCAAATTATTTATATCTTGTCAAATGCGAAGGGGAACGAGGAAAAACTCAAAAATGTTTCATCTAAAAAAAAAACGAACAAGAAATAATACGTGTAAATGAAATAATAAAATAATGAAAATAATAGATTAATCGTGAAATATTTTCGCGAATCGATTACTTCAAATTGCAATTACAAGATTTGTCTGAAAAAAGTGAATATATTATACGTAAAAAATAAAACGCGAATAAAAATAAAATTGATAATCCTAAGAGAGTTTTCGATGGAAACAATTGGGTAAGACTTTTTACGGGTATATACATACATACATACTTATACATACGTATAATATACGCTATTTTATTTCTCAAAGGAACCATAGACGCGACGAATAAATTACGTATTCACGTGCTATGGCTCGTAAAAGAAAGTAGAAACGAACGAACCTTCCTTTACAATAAGTTTCCAAAGGAAAAGATCTCACTCCTTCGTAAACTTCTCTCTTCCTCTTTGCTTATATACCAGCTATATACGGTTTTCGTTAAATACGTTTTCAAACGTTTCTCTCTCTCTCTTTCTCTCTCTTTCTCTTTTTCTCTTTTTCTTTCTCCTTTTTCTTTTTCGAATCTTGTCGAATAATCCGAGCGTAGGTGTAGTTAAGAGTAGGAAACGTCTTCCGTGTCATTCGTTCGTCGATTTAACAACCACTTCTTTCCTCTTTTACACCGAGTGGAAGAAAAGGAGGAAGAAGAGGAGGAGGAAGAGGAGGAGGAGGAGGAGGAGGAGGAGGAGGAGGATAAGAGGAGGATCATTCTATCCTCCTAAAGTAGTCCTACACCAAACCATGTCAAACTCATTTTTGAGTTCTCGTTTAAGCGAGTTAATTTATTGTTCATGCTATATCGAGAACCGTCTAAGTTTATGTGTGTGTTCGTGTATATGCGTGCATGTATTTTTGACCTTTTCAGATTATTCAACGATTCGAAAACGTTCTTCTTTACTTCTTGTTTCTTTTTTTTTTGTCTTTCTTTTTTTAACACACACCCACGCCTACGTATTATATATGCTAATAAATCTATTTTCAATTGTAATAGTAAATTAATAATGTGTTCTATAAAATCAAAAACAAAATGATACCTATATAGAAAAAAAAAAAAAATAATAATATAAAATACGCCGGGAGATACGTTTATTTCGATATTTTGTCTTTTTCTAATTGAAATATTATGAACTATAAAATTTTATGTGTGTGTGTGTGTGTTTATTTATAAATATATGAATTATAAAATTTAACACCTTTTTTTGTTCTAATTGAAATATTATGAACTATAAAATTTTATGTGTGTGTGTGTGTGTTTATTTATAAATATATGAATTATAAAATTTAACACCTTTTTTTGTTCTAATTGAAATATTATGAACTATAAAATAATGTATATATATAAAAAAAAAAAAAGGTAAAAGAAAAAAAAAATGAGATTAATAATGAAATTTTGTAATTTTGATTTTGTTATTACAGGAATCGGTGAGATCCCGTGTTGCGATGGACTTCACCGGTAGTGTTGGAAGGATAGTTGAAGATCCAAAGGAAGCAAAGGACATAGCCGAGAGCGAAGGTATAATCTGGCGACGAAGATGGAGGCCTTTTTCACGTACACCATCAGGCTGTGCAATGGTCAGGCTTCATGGTCTCGATGGTGGTATACACGTTCTCCAACCTTGGTTTCATGGTGGCCTCAAAAGGGATATCGCGGCTGCCATTATTAGGGATCATGGCTCGGTCGATGGGTAAGGAATTATTTTTTTCCCTTTTTTTTTTTTCAATTATTCCCTTTCATCTCGCGAAATCATACTTTTATTTCGTGCTTTTCTTTTTTTTTTTTATATATCACGACAAGAAAAAAAAAGTATTAGAAAATAATTATAATTCATGTATAGAAAGAAAATCTTGAAGAGAAAAAAATTAATAATTATTATCAATGAAAATTGTGTGAACAATATTAATAAATATTATCGATAGATAAAAAATCATCGAACTAATAAGCTCTTACGTAGCCGTGAACTATATTTTTCTTATCATTCGTGTCGCGAATTAAAAAAGAAAAAGAAAAAGGAAAAAAAAGAGAAGAAACAGAAAGTTAAAAAAAAAACAATCTTGCCCTACTTAATAATGATTGTATAATAATAATCTTTAACAAGATTGTCATCATTTAGATTGCTTTTTCCCTTTTTTCACTTTTCTTCTTATTACGTTGAAGAAGCCCCGTCAACGATAGAAAGAGAATCCTTACTCTTCCTTTTATAAAGGAAAAACCTACTTTAACATTTTCTTTGAGATTTAAACACGCGTTAGTTACGTCTTGAATTAATTCATTTTCACGTCGTTATTCCTCTTTTTTTTTTTTTTTTTTTTTTAATTTTTTTTTTTCTCGGTCTTGATTTCTTTAAAACCAAAACCAAGAATCGCGAGAATAGATGTTTAATTAACGACACTATCTACTCTGTAACTTTTACGTTTGATCCTTTTTTCTCTCTCTCTCTCTCTCTCTCTCTCTTTTTCTTTCTTTATTTCTTCCTTCCTTTCTTTACCTTGATTTTATTTCTCTCTTTCTCTTTTCCATTTATTGTTGGCTAACGTAATCGAGCGCACAACGATCACGTAGTTTTATCCTCTCGGTTTGCCCACCCGTTCGCACGAAGTTTCGCATAAATTTGCATAATCACGTATCTTTTCGGAACGAAGCGAAACACGAAAGAAAGAATGGAAAGAAGAAACTATAGAAAAAGAGAGAGAGAGAGAGAGATATTGACGCCTCTGAAAAAAAAAGGGGAAGATTAGTGAGAATTCGCATAGAAATGGTGGTTGGTCTCTTCTATCACTGTTTTCTATCTCTATCTTTTTTTCTTTCTTCTTTTTACATATTCGAACATTCAATTTTTTAATCGGTCCAACTTGAAATCATTTTTAATTTAAAAAAAAAAAAAAGACAACAAAAATACCTTTATCCTCAATTTTCTATCTTTTTTCCTTCTCCCTCGTTTTCTCATATCATCCCATTCTTTTTTCACCTTTTTTTAATAACTAACGATAAGAGTAAAAAATACGAATTCGCGAAAGATCAGTAGCTAAAGTATGAGATATAATATAATAGGTCTAAGTATAATTATTTGTATGAATTCATGTGAAGATAAATTATTTGGATAAAAATCATATCTAATTGATAAGTAAATCATATTAGAATAGAAAAATGTTCATACAATGTGCGTATATTATAACATATGAATAATTGTCCCATTGTATACTTCCTTATTTCGCTTATTCAATTTTCTTATCTTATAATACTTCCATTTCTTTCTATCATCTAAGAGAATTTATTGTAAAATCAGTAATATACGGTAACGAAAAGGAAAATAAGATAAACAGAAGATGGAAAGGAAGATTGGTGAGAAAAGTTTCAGAGAGGAGACAAGACTAGTCTCTCTCTCTCTCTCTCTCTCTCTCTTTCTGAAGTCTCGAGTTTTACGATCTCGTGGTCGCTCAGTAATCGTTTTACGACTTTTTTTCTCTCTCTCTCTCTCTCTCTCTCTCTTTCTCTTTTCATTCTGCCACCCCTTCACAGCATCCTCTTTTTACGACCACACTAATTTATATACCACGATTCGCTTCGGGAGATAGTATAAGAAAGCAAGGAAGGAAGGAAGGAAGAAAATAAAAGAAAGGATGAAAGAAAGAAAGAAAGAAAGAAAGAAAGGAAGAAAGGAAAGAAAAGATTCTCTTGAAGCTTGAAGAGAAGTCTCTCTCGTATTTGCAAGGGTCTGCCAATCACCTGTCTTCTTTTTGTTCCAGAGTCTTCCTGGTTAGAGAGAGCAAAAGCAATCCTGGGGCCTACGTCTTGACTTACAAGTACAGCGACAAGGTCTTTCACGCTCAGATTCAACCGGTAAGAGAATAAATACTTTTAACTATTACACACTAAGTCGTCATATTTTAACTGTATATCCTAATAATGAATATATATATATATATATATATATATATCAATCAACCCGACAAATACTAACAATTAAATCGAAACAATATTTAAACAAAATCTTGATATTATTATTATTTTAATCAACGAGAAAAAAAGAAAAAAAGAAAAGACTAAAAATAATTGAAATAATTTCAGGTATACGACGAAAGACGCAACTGTTGGCTCTACACGTTAGACAAGGGGGCTACGAAATTTTACGATCTCTTACAACTGGTCGAATTTTATCAATTGAATTCGGGTTCTCTGCCAACTCGTCTAACCCATTACGTTCAAACTGGTGTACCAACACCAATACCAAGGCCCGAAGATGGAGGTGCATCACCGTCACCTGCTGATGCCAGTCAAAGATTCAGTGTCAAGACAGAATCAGCGAGTATTTGAGTATAGGAGAACCAGCGACCCGTTGCTGTAAACGTCGAACATGTACCATCATCAACTGCATCTAATAGAATCGTTACCGTTACTTCGGATATTGATGATAATGATAACAACGAAGAAAATCTTCTCGTTAATAACAACAATAATATTAGAAATAATAATAACAGAATCAGCGTTGTATCAGAACCAAGAAGAGCTATGTTAAATGGTACCCCAACAGTAATAACTGTTGTAGACGTAATAGAAAATCATCATCGATTGGAACGACGTCAACGTTACAATTTAAATGATGACAGCAACGTGCACAAATTAAATGGTCATTTTCGACACCAACAACAACAACGACAACAACAACAACAAGAACAACAAAGACGTTCGAATACACGATCGGGTTGCTGGAATCTCTGCCTTTGCAGTTACAAGTGGGACTTGTAACTTAATTATTCTTAATATATTTAATTAACTGAATCTTCAAACAACCCCAAACGTCACTTTTGCTATCATCTCTGCGACGATACGTCCATGTCCCCCCAGTCTCCATTTTGAGGAAAGAACGCGAAGAAGAGGATTCATATTACTTTTTTTTGTTTTTTTTTTTTAATTGTTCAAGAGGCTCTCCACTCAAATCTTTCAAACTTTCTGAAACTAGTTTGATTGATTCCTGTGTTTATATTAATTATAAGACGTGTCGTCGTATGGTTATAATTGCGGGGGATGCAAATAACAACGTTTTGTTTTTTTTTTTTTGTTTTCTACGAACGATGTTCTAACTCGATGTTTAAAAATATCGATCTTTCGACCCTCCGTCAATGAAGAAGAAAAAGAAGAAAAAGAAGAAGAAGAAAGAAGAAAGAAGAAAAAGAATCAATAATAAAACTGCGAATTTATATTCGTCCCTATATAAATATATGTATAAATTTACATACATACATATATATATATATATATATATTTATATATATATATATATTTATATATGTAATTAATTTTGTCTTCTCTAATGAGACGAAAAGATATAAAAAAAAGAGACTACAGATGATGAACGTTCGTACGAATAACGACGAACAGGATTACTATTGCGTTTGTTTGTTTTTATTTTTAATCTTTTAATTTTTTAATCTATATATTGGGCTTATTTTCTATAATTGTAATTTTTTTTTTTTTTTCCTTTCTTTTTTTTCTTTTATCATTTAATAGTAGTCTCGGTTTTTGTTTCACTTTTTTTTTTTTACGATTAATTTCTTTTCATTTCCAACCCCCCACCCACACCCTCTTAAAATGAGTTTATATAAGAAATGTATACGAAGAAGAAAAGAGAAGAGAAGATAAGAGACAATCTTGTGTTCTCTTTAATGAAAATGAAAAAAAAAGTATTTAGTGTTTATTAATCGAAGATATCATCGTTGTATGCATATTGTATATCAATGATTATATTATACACTTCTTATAATTATTTCTCAATTTTCTCTCTTTCTTTAACCAATATATTTTCTTCTCTTTTCTTTTCTTTTCTTTTCTTTTCTTTCCCCCCCCCCACCCCACCCCTCCTTTTTGTACTTTAAATTATTTTTCTTGTCTTTTCTTTTTCATCGCGTTACAAAATTATTTAAATATTATCATAATATACCATAATATACCATTTATTATTTGTTTTCCAATGATTATACTCGGACGTGTTTAAAAAAACAACAACAATAAGAAGTTTTCTAAATTTTGTTTCATTTAAATCAAATGAATGATATATAAATAATAATCAATTACCATAATCCTTATTTCGATGTTGTATATTTTATTATTCGTCTGGGTTATTTTTTCAAATGCCGAACAAAATCTGCAGTTTAAAATATGAACAACAACAACAACAACAAATAGATGTATTTTAATGAAGATAAAAATAAGAAGAAGAAGAAGAAGAAGAAAAAGAAAAAAGCGAATACGTGTGACACTAGTATTGCTCCTACTTACAATTATATGAATTTTGTAAGAATAATTACACATACATTTTCACATTTTTACATATTTAAAAAAATAACATACATACACATACACACACACACACATATTACTCGTACACGCGATACACATACGGCGTGTCCGTTGGAATTCGTTCTTCGAGACGAGAATTAAGATTTCTCGAGGAACGAAATATCATATTCGACGATCGTTATTGTTATATGCTTTTCGTTAAATTAATCATTCGATTAGATAATAATTAACATTTGAAAATGATACTAATCATTCTTAATGTTCTTTAAACATCAACATTTATATATATATATGTGTAAATGCACATTATTATTAAGATACAATATTAAATTCGTCAATTCGAATTTCAATTCGATAATTTCATTTTCATATATTTGAATTTATATAGAATATTTTTCTTTTTTCTTATCTTTTTATTATCAATCGAAAAAATTTCTTTGAGTCTTACATCGATTAATGCAATAGTTAATCCGATAGTTTTTTGTTTTGGTTTTTTTATTTGCGATCGATAGAAATCGCGTCTTTTAAATAATAGTAATAATAATAATTTTACGACAGAATGTTTTTCTCATGACTTCTGATACATTGATTGATTTCTTAAATATGTGGTTTTTTTTCCTTTTTTTTTTCTTTAAATATTTATAATTTATCTTAATTTATATATCACTCGCGAAAAGAATATAAAAAGAAAGGGAAAAAGAATAAAATAAGAAAATGAAATTGAAGTATTGTGTTCTAGGCATATTAAAAAAATTTGAATAAATTCATTAAAAATTATGATCACGATAACGTGAAATATATGTAAAGATCAAATAGAAGAAGATGAATCTAGTAATTTGTGTTATTAGAAATATAAGAATGCGTATAATAATTAATATAATAAAGTAATAAGAATAATTTCTCGAAAAATGGGAAAAAAAAAAAAAAAGATGAAACAAAACATGAAGAAAAATTTTTCGAGAACGCAAAGAAAAACCGCTGAAAAATTTTGTTCCATATGCCGAACAGAATTTTTTATATTCGTAAAATAATAGGAAGAAAAAAAAAACCAGAAAATAAAAATATTCAATTCGAGTTTTGCGTGATAATTATAATAAATAGAAAGAAAATAAAATCGATAAAATGATGACGATGACGATGACGATGACGATGACGATGACGACAAGGACGACAAGCATATTACTTTATACGGGCGAGTCGAATATTGAAGATAAATTTGACTGTGACCGAATTTCATTTCGTGAATGATAATTTGCGAGGGTTTTCTTCCAAAGACATGATCTCATACGTTACATACAATTTTTGGACGCGTTGCGGCGTGATTGTTAATTAATTAAATGCGAGGTCGGAGAAAAGAAAGGGGTTCAATTAAAATAATAAAATAAATTGCATTAAGAATGTGAACGAATGATAAGATGAAAAAAAGTAAGAAAGGAAAAAAGAAACAAAGTTATCGGAACGAAAGTGAAGTGAATAGAATGAATAAAAATGCATCTATGTATGTGTGTGTGTGTGGGTGTGTGTATATGATGTGAGAGAGAAAAAGAAAGAAAATGAAAAATGACGCGAGTGAGGGGTGAATTTTGTATGCGGTGTGTGTATGATGTATAAGCATAAAAATGAATGAATTTAATAATATTGAAAGAACGCGAAGAAAAGAATGAAAGAGAGATCAAAGAACAAAGAAAATCTATTTAAATATAGATATATATATCTATACATATACAATATATATATATATATATATGTATATGAATATTCTAAATTATACGTTTTATATAATCGTGAGTAAAAAAGAAAGAAAGAAAGAATGTTTTGATACAAATGTTACCTGAGAAGTTAACACGTCTTATTACCCATAAAGTAATAATTAATAATTAATAATAATAATAACATTAATAATTAATATTAATAGTAGTAATAATAATAATAACGACGCTTAACGCAAGTCATCGAAAAATCAGGATAAATAATTGATCATTAAATTTGGAATTAATTTCTGACTAATTATATTATTCTCGATTTTCGCGTGATTGCGTTAAAAGTCGTGTTAAATATTAAGCATCGTAGGTGGGACAATTAAAAAATAATCTGAAAGAAAGAGAAAGAGAGCATATGTATGCGTGTGTGTGTGTGTATGTCTTTGCGTGTGTGAAAGGGAAATGGAAAGAGAAAGAAAGAAAGAGAGAGAGAGAGAGAGAGAGAGAGAGAGAAAAGATTTTTTTCGGTATAAAGTGATATAAATAATAATTTTTAAAAATAATAAAATAATAATAATAATAATGAACACAAAAAAAAAGGAATAAGAAGGAAACAAGAAAAAAGATTTAAACTTAAGAATATAAAATTAAAGTAAATTATAAAAATAAAATGAAAGACGAGAAGAAGGAGTGTGGGTGTCTTACGCGAACGTATTAATTATTATTCATCAGAAAGAGAGAGAGAGAGAGAGAGAGAGAGAGAGAGAGAGAGAGAGAAAAGAGAATCACCGATCCTATTTGTACCTACTTTTTAATAATATTATATTTTTTCAACGATTATTTATTTAAAAACTATCGCCGTCGAACTGTGACACTCCGTACGTGTCTCGCGAAATAAATAAAAATCATATATATATACAAATATATATGATAATGAGATAATGATGCTAATAATGATGATAATGATGATGATGATGATAATGATAATAATAATGATGATAATGAGATTCAACAACAAAGAGATATATAAAAAGAAAAAAGAGCAAAAGAGAGACAAAAAAAAAAACAAACAAGAAAAATAAAAACAAAAAGAGAGAAAGAATGATTAAAAATTAATCCCGTATGATGATGATGATGATACGAGAAAAGGACTCCGTTATATGCGAGAGAGAAAAAAAAAACCATCTAGCAATTGAAATATAAAAAGAAATAGAAATAAAAGTGTAAGAAAGAACAATTGTTGGAAAGGATTGAGGATCAGAAATGACAGAAGAAAAAAAGAAAATTAATTAAGAAAATGGTAAAACAACAACATAAAACAGAAAAAAGAAAAAAAAAAAAACAATAAACAATGGTAAACGAAACCAGACACTTTGTATTAATTTCTTAG